GTTGGACAGTAAGTTGGACGAACGCTCAGATGAACAAACGACTTCTAAATAAAAATCTAAAATGTTTGTCCTCTCCAAATAGCTACATTGGGTCCTCCACTTCTTTCTGTGGAAATGAAGGCCAACGAAGCAATCATTCATATGAAAGGACCCATGAGGTATCAACCAGATGACTACATGTCTGCTACATCAATGGCAACAGTGTACCCCCGCATGACGTACAACCTAACCACCCTCATCCATGGACAGACTGTGAGTATAAAGACAGCATGCTACTCCACTAACAAACCCATTTGAGACTAATCTTGTTTTTATGTGTGGTTGCATTTATAGTACCATCTACCTGTGGACTCCAATCCATACAGATATTCACTGAGGGAGCACAACACCAAGTACTGCTTCTCCGCCACGGCAAGGCTGCACTTCATGCCAGTTCAGTGCCAGTCATCAGTTTGGCATTGCATAACCTCACCCCAAGGTACAAAGAACATGGTTACTAGACAGTTAGACGGCCGCAGTCTGTGACTGATAGGCTATGATCAGGAATGTGACGAAACAAGATGTAGAAGTAAAAGTGACAGTAGTTATCATTTGATGCCATTGCTATTAAACAGTTGTTTACTGTTGACAACACAGCTATTAGTCACACAGGGTATAATCAACCGTAACCCATTGGCTTCTCCTTTGAAGGTACTCTGTTATTTACCTTTATTTTTCTTTGTTCACTCATCTCCTTCCAGACCCTGAGACTGTTCATCTGTTGAAGGTGATTGTGGGCATCGTCGTTCCAACTTTGTGTCTGTGCATACTTGCGATAGTTGTCTACTTTCTACACAGCTACCTAATGGGAGAAGGACAGAAGAGCCATATGCTGGTAAATTAAACCCACACACAATACAAATTGAAGTGTACAATTTCAATTTCCAAAATGTAATATTTTGTACTGGCGTTGTCTACACAGTCTTGAAGAAATCAAATATTTTTGTTACCTTTTAGGCAGTAAATAAAGGAGAATGTCTTACCTGGACTTGTGTTTCATGTAAGACGTGGCTGTATGTCAATGTAGCAGGTGGTCAGCCCTGAACTTACATTGATGCTGCTTTATTCCCCAGAACTCAACATCTTTTTATCCATCACCCTTGACCTTTGCTCCAGAGAATCTTAATCTCAACCTCATCCTGGTCAGTGTCATCCCAGACGAGTCACGACCAGACTGGGACACCACTACTTCAGACTTTGCGTTCCACAAGAAAAAAAATGCAAGTCTTTCATCAGAATACTCCCCACAGAGGGAAGAAGACCCCCAGGAGCCTGATGCCTTCCCAATTGATTATGGTTTTGTTGGAGTGGCATCTGAGACATCAAATGGAGAGCGGTTTGACAGAGGAGAAGACAGGGATGATTTGAATGGTTTGCATAAAGAGTGCATAGTGGGAGAGAGTTGTGATAAAAAGGACTGTGGACTTAAGGATGCTAAATTTTTTAATGTTGACCGCACTCAGTCAGATTCCTACCTCTCGCAGGCAACCAACACAATCACGCAAACGCAAACTCGTAGTCCGATAAACTCACAAGCACACGGACAGGTAGAGATTAGCAAACTGGTAAAAGCACAGCCATGGTCACTGGGAGGAAGTGAAGTCAAAGAGAGGGAAGATGAAGAGAATTCAGGTTTATTTTTAAATACATCTGTCTTCACTGTTCCTTCATATCTTCAACAAAATACGCAGGTAGGCGTTAAGGAAGAGATATACAAGGAGGTTAGAGTGAGACCAAATGAAAGCAACGATGAGGCTGCAGAGGAAGGAAGTAAGGATGAGACGGTAGCCCTTCTTTCTGCTTATGCATCCCAGAACATCAGAGTTTTGCCTCCCAACCATGTGGAACAAACAGATCTCTTACAAAACAACTACGGTCTTCTGAGTGTAGCTTCAGGGATGGAGAATGATGATGATGCTGATGAGCAAGAGGGGCTCCAGATTGTTTGGGATTCAGAAACAAGGCGATTAGTGTTTCCAGGAATCGGCACGGAGGCAGGTATTGATGACATGAAAGAGCGAGAAGAGGAGAAAGAAGACAGGGTGGGAGGAGAGGAAGGGAATGCCGTGAAGGGTGAACTGAAGCTAGAAAATGTGTTTGTCAAACAAGCATCTGAGGAAGAAATAGAGGGAGAGACTGAAGGAGATGGGGAAGCAGAGTGGGAGGCAGATGATATTTTAAGCAAATGGAACCTGATAATCTCGATGGACCAGTAGGTGATATTCATCAGTAGAATCATCATAACAAAAGGTAGTATTTCCCTTGAAATTTATTTAGCACAAAGACCAAACTACTTCCATTTGTTTAAAGTGAACAACACTCCAAATAAATTGGCCGTAGATTGGGGATTAAGTTAACTGTTCAAAACTTCTCAATGTTCCATCACATTGCACCGCATCAACCCCCCAAACCTTCCTGCAGGTGGTGAGTCCACTGGAAGGTATTAACCTCCCTAACCGGGATTCGAACTTGTCCAGGAGGTGAACCCTGGGGTATCACACCAATGACAGAGACATTGCCTCTGGGCCAAAGCGCCACACTTCTCAATGTTTAATTCCCTTAAACAAGACAAGTCTTAAGTTACTCAAGTACAAGTTATATTATTTGTGGTTGCAGTTTTGTTTTCATACTAAATACTTCAAGTTGTTATTTTTTAGACACCCCTGGACAGTGTCTACTTAAATGACTGGGTTTAGATGGAATAACTTTTATTTAAATAGTTTATTCTCATGAAGAAACTAACAATGAAGGGAACTTGTTTTTATAAACCTACTGTAAACTGTAGCACTTTCCATTCTTTTATCTTACTGCATATAATGTACAACAGTCCTAAAGGGAGGGCAATAGTTCAAGCATATTACTGTAGGTTCTTCCCGCTGAGGACTAGTTGTTTTTTCTATTTTATTCTAATTATTTTTATACAACCTTGTAATTAATCAATTAATCAACTTTGCTTCATATAAACATAAAATAATAAGAATGTCTTCTAATGTAAGCCCAGTTAAATTCCCTCAATTCAACAAATTGTATTTCTGTTTAGCCACCTTATTCATTCTACTTTCTAGTAAAGGAGGAAATTATTGTAATATTGTTTTACAGTCAGTCTTGATTTCTGACTACATGAAGCAATTATTAGAAAACAAAGTGAGAAAAATTATGTAGATACACAAATTATCTTTGTCCGTGTCATTTAGTCTTATATTAGAAATAAATATACAGTTATAACTCCCAAGTAATATAATGTAATCTGCTGTGCAACAGCAAGGTAGATGCTGTGCATTGAAGTTGATTGAATTTTCCTGGTTTGGTGTCGCTACAGGAAGTTAATCAGTGATATTGTTGTAAAAGCTTTTCATAATTAATATGATAAATATTGTATTAAAAAACAAATAAAGTGCATCTATTAAACTCACCCAGTTCTATTAGGAAAAAGGCTGATTTTTTTTGTCTGAATCTAACATTGTATTTGTTTTTACGGATTAATACATAGCTTTAAAATCCAGAAAATGTTCATAGAATATGACACAAACTATTGATCTATTGACGTACAACAAACGGCATTTAAAAGCTACGATACAGTAAATTGATCAATAGCAACACCTGGTGGTCAACGCACAAACATGAATAATAACGTTTAGTGTAATTTTTTTTTATTGACATACCGTCATCTACAGTCAAGTGCATAGACAGTTATAAATGGCAAAATATATAATTATAAAATACACCGGAAGTATAATGTTGTTTGGGAATATATCCAAGATATTCCCATCAACAACTTAGTAAGATGGCATTGAAATAGTGATTTGGTGATTAGAGTTTCTATAAGATGACATTTATCATATATCAGAGGCATCAAATGCTGCCGTTTCAATATTTGCATAAATACTATTAACATTAAAACGTCACTTATCGGGTTTCACGAGACTCAAAATCCGGTTGTCTATATTTCTGACATTTATAATGCGACCTGTTTTAAATATGGTTAAAATAGATCAAATATATTTAATCACTGAGCGATGTACCAAATGTAAATATGCATTTTAAAAATATGAAACACCTACCCCAGTTTAAAGTTTTCTTCCGTTTTCTGTTTATTTTTATTACAAATTGATAACACGTGCACAGCTCCGCTGCAGAGAGTATGTTATGCAATGTGTTTTAAAGTGAACTAATAATGGAAATATGTGAAATATACAATGTAAAAACATGTTCTCACCCAAACCTGTGGGCGGCGCGCTGTCACTGAGCTGCAGCTGCATCCTCCTTTCATACATCATGGAGTCGCTCGCTCGGCTTCGGTCTCCATCAAAGGGGCGGGGCCGACAGTCGTTGGACACTTCCGGCGAGCTCGGATTTCGTTCGACCCTGCATTTAAATGGAGCTGCAGAGAATCAGCTGCTGTTACATCCAGAACTGTGCTGTGGCAATAAACCCGCGGATATAGAAATACAGCTCTTTGCACATTGACAGCAATACGACATTATTAGAGACATCTCTCTGTCCAGGAGTTCTTCTTTCTGCAGAAGAGCGTGAGCCGCTGAACAATAACGGGCGCTGCGCTCTCCCATCAGCCCAGGGCATCATTTTGTGAAGATTTCACTGCAACATCCTGGACGATATTGAATAGCGGTAATGTGAGGCTGTGCATGAGCAGTGTTATTTAGATCGGGGTTTTTTTATAGTCAGTATTTTTAAAAAGAAATCTGTAAATTGAAATAAAGCTAATGTCGTGTTGTTTTGGCCCAGGAAAGCAAATGGCCCTGACTTCAGTTGATGTTTGATAATGACGACGTTTTTTTATTTTAATATAAGGTCACATAAACAACAACATTTTAATTTTAAATGTAGTCACCAGCAGAGGCAGAGTCTTACTGACTACAGTGTTCAGATCAGACCAGACACAGTGTCATTTCACTCCTTTAATATCTTCTGTCTTTAAGGAATTCTTTCTTGTCTGTGTCTGAGATAATAGCATTTCCCTCAAGGCATTACACATTTACTAACTACACAGAAATTCCAAAATTACAAAGTCCATCGTTGACTAATAATATAGGCTTGACAAATTCAACAGCGTCATGTTCAGCTGGCTTGGGAGCGATGACAGGAGGAAGAAGGATCCAGAGGTGTTTCAGACTGTCACTGAAGGACTGAGGAAGCTCTACAAAACCAAACTCCTGCCGCTGGAGGAAAGCTACAAGTTCCACGAGTTCCACTCCCCGGCTTTGGAGGATGCTGACTTTGACAACAAGCCCATGGTCTTACTGGTGGGACAGTACTCCACTGGCAAGACAAGCTTCATACGGTGAGAAATCAGCACTGACGGTCGGTGATGACACTAACACTAATGCTGGCAGACAAGGGGGAGGCTGACACACCCAAACTGACTCTTCCTTGTTTTAACTCCCAACAGTAGCACAACAGGCCAGTACTAATATGTCAGGGTCACCGTGTCAAAAGGTCACATCAAACAATTAAATACTGGCTAGAAACCGAAAAATCAAAAAGAATAATAAATAAATTAAAAAGTAAAATAGTATGTATCCCACACATGACATCCATCAGACCAAATGTTTGGAGCCACAGGCCTGTCAGCGTTATTGACTTTATAAACGTCGTACATGGCTGCCAATACAAGTCACACATATGACACATGTATAACACGAGGTAGCACAGCCTGGCACAGCAGCGCCTCCCACAGGAGCCGAGGAGATGCATTTTTTTACAGCATGTGGGTGATCAGGGCCTTCTACATAGAGTAGATGTGGTGAAAAATATTGGAGCTATTGAAAAGGAGTGAATGTGTGTGTGCCAGCTTGATGCTTTAAACTGAAGAACTTCAGTTGATGCCTGGGATGTTAGACACAAAGAGGGCAGTGGGTCATGGGAAACTAATCCTTGTTTTACATTTACAAACCTTGCTTTAGAAAATCCCATTATTGAGTGCACATTTATTGCATATGTCATATATATTAGTATATGATAATAATCTGTATATAATATTCATTTATATTCTCAGCTCTTTGTTTAAGGTCACCTGCTGCTGTCCGTCTCTGCTGTGGTGTGTTTGTGACTTTAAGAAATATAAGCTTGGAGATAGGCCCTTGTTTTTTTTCAACCAGACCGCCGTTGATGGGTTGGCTTTTAAACACACACACACACATGCACACATAGCAGGCAAGACCTTATTGGTAATTAGTTGAAAGCCAGTGAGAGAGTGCTGTTAGTGACTTCCTGTTCTGCCCCTGGTTTTTCTTCAATACTCTCTCCATCTCGTTGTTTTGCTCCTGCACTTTGAACACGCCCGCACTCTCAGCTGCTCGGCCCCTCAACAGTGACAATGTAGCAGCGCCATGAGGAATGTGCAAAGTGCTGAGTAACCCTCGATCAGAGCTGCTGTTCAGTCACAGCAGCTCTTTGATTTGTTTTTTTTTTCTTCTTCACAGCTGTGAACCTCCTCCCTCAGTCACAACGCCTTTGCTGTTTTGAAATAAAGAACAAAATTTATTCTCCCTTCTCTTTCTCTTACAATTGTGGTCAAAACGTTTTGTACAACAGCAGTCAATACATTTAGCTTTGCAGATGCAGATTAAACATATATTGACGCCAAGGTGGGTTTAAATAAGATTCAGTCTTATTTTACCATTCGTTGGCAATGAACAGATTAACAGACCTACTGTGGCTGTTAAACCAGGCGGGGCCTGAACAAAGTGAACTGGTTTGTGTTCAGTAAATGTGAGCTAATGTTCACTGTACGTGAATTCCACTCTTACATCATTTCTGTAGCTTGTTCTTATCAGACAGTCAATCTGATACGTGCACATGTGCACAGCCTCCCATCTACAATGTTGACAGGGCTCACAGTCCACAGACATGTATGAGGGTGCAGAGGAATGGCTCCACCAGGCACTGCTGGTTCCTCTGACAAGGTGTATATACATGTATGTATGTGTGTGTGTGTGGGGGGGGGGAGATGGGGAGGTCAAGATTTATTACAGCCCAGTTTAACACATGGCAGCAATTAAAATGCAAACACGATCTCAGTCTAACGCTTACAATTTATGGCCATTTTGGTTGTAATTTTTTTTCCCCCTCTTCTGTTGTGTCTGTTTTGTGCAATTCTAAAATGTGGAAGAACGAGAGAAACTGAAAATCTGAAACATGGACAATATCACTGTAACAAACAGCTTTAACATGTGATCAGTCAAAGCCAAAACATGCTCTAAAGGCAAAGATCACTAACATATCAGTAACAGACTAACCGTCCTGTCAGAATAGAAAGAGTCGACCCAACTTATCTGGATCCAATATTTGAGATTGTTTTGCAAGAAAACATCAACTCTCTTCTTTCTATAATAAACGTTCTAGAATCCACATGTTTCTGGTGTTATCTTGGCAACAGCTGTCACATTCATATATGATGGCGTGGGTTTAAGATTTGACAGAAACAATGTTTTTAGTGGCTTTTTCTGAGACGTGATTGAACGTTAAAGGCCTAGTTAGCAGCAAACCTGGGTCTGGTCCTCGTCTTAAATCCAGACCACTGGGCTAACACAGTCTGGTGGTGCCGTCAAACTCCCCTACCTTTTGTTCCAGCAGCTTCTAATAGAAGACAGGCCGCCTGTCATTTGGTTTTAAACGGCATCTTACTACAAATTTCCCCTTTTGACTTAATCACTGCTAGAAAATGTGCAGTGTTATTTATTTATTTATTTTTTCAAATAAGAGGTCGCAGATGTGGCTGATCAGTTCTGTTGGCTGCAGACGAATACAGGGATCAGAAATGTCCTGAAGAATTCAGTTAAGAGTTCGACTTTTGTAGTGTGAAGAATCATATTCAGCTGTCGTTGTGCTGTGATGATAACATGGTGATTAATGGAAGTTATGATAATGTTTCATCATCACAGACAGCTTCTGGTCTAATGACTACATACAGTTTTTTTATGTTTGTCGGTAACCAGAAACCTGTGGCGTCCATGTTTGTTTATCTTCTCACGATCTCCTCCACAGTTACCTGTTGGAGCAGGACTTTCCTGGGATGCGCATCGGCCCTGAACCCACCACGGATTCCTTCATCGCGGTGATGCACGGAGACACCGAAGGAATCATTCCTGGAAATGCTTTGGTGGTCGACCCCAAGAAGCCCTTCAGGAAGCTGAACGCCTTTGGAAATGCATACCTCAACAGGTAGGTTCTTCCACCGCACTGTCAACAAACAGAAAAAAAACATGTTTTCAGGCACATTTAAAAGTTTGTGATGTAGTAAACTAAAGTATTTCTGTTAGATAATCTATGGACTATACTGTATACATAGTATAAGAAAGGCTGAGGCACAGACTGAAGAAGAAAAGACTGAGAGTGGCAGTCCACACTGCGGCTCTACATTCCTGCCTGATTAAATTTCCATCTGCTCGCTGGTCGGACCACTGTGTGGATGTGTGTCAGGGGAGACACGGGAGAAAGAATATCCCATGTTTGCAAAGTCATCCTCCACGAAAGAACCTAAATCTCTTGACTCTTGGCAGTAGTGTCACGTGGCCCCCCCTGTTGGAGACGTCAGTGTGGATAGTAAGGTTCACAGAAAGAATGGCTGCTAACCTGTTTGTATTGATTCAGCTGCACGATGCCAGAGAGTAAGAGCAGTGAAGACAGTCCCAGAGACAGACGGTTGTTTAAGTGTTTCACATCTCTGTCCTCTCTCCCCTACTGTCTTTATATGTGTGTAGGTTTGTGTGTGCCCAACTTCCGAACCCTGTGCTGGAAAGCATCAGTGTGATTGACACACCGGGGATTCTGTCTGGGGAGAAACAGAGAATCAGTCGAGGTAAAACACCACATACTAACATCTATCACTGTTTCCACTTTGGGCATGTGTTTATGTGTGTGTGTGTGTGTGTGTGTGTGTGTGTGTGTGATTCCACATTTAGCTGCAGCCCCCTTGTCCTACTGATCTCTGCACAACAATGTCAGCATTTCTTTTGGACATGTGTGTTGTGTGTGTTTGTTTAGCCTTTGACTATCGGGGGGATTGTGCTTCATTCATTTCAAAGACCAGGAAGCAGTGACAAAAAGATGAGCTTTGAATGTTCCCTTCCTTTCTATCACACACACTCACACACACACAGAACACAAGTTTGGCAACTGCATATGATTCTACTAAATTACAATTTCAAATAGAAACTCCTTATTCAGTCCTTCTATCAATAATTTGGACTTTTTCATCCCTGCTGTGTTGCTACACCCTTAACACGAGAGAGACTTTCCTATGTTCCTCCATACACTTTAAACCTTTTCAAAAAATGTTTAGTAAAGTTGTGTATTATGTGTCATTTTGTGGCATATGTGTGATACTTTTAGCAGTTTTTGGTGAATATTATACAGATGCATATTTAGTTTCATGTTTTTGATGATTTGTGTTGTTTCGGAGAAAATGTATGTTTTGGGATCCAGTTGTTTAGAAAATATGAGAGTAAAGGAAAGTATGAAAATTGCAACAAAAGTGTAACATTTTACTAATTTTATTATTTTGATAACTCATTAGTGACTTAATGTAGTGGTCCTTGATCTAGTAGTTGGGGAGTTAGTCTTCTAAGTGAAGAATCGCGGGTTTAAATGTTGTCTCTTGGGCATTTTTAATGCTGACCGAATAAGATGTTTTTATTTTTCAAAATTTCCTGCCTGCATAATGTCGCCGTCTGCTGGTCGTCTACTGGTCGTTTGACAATCGTTATGACATAAACGAATCATTCACGCTCTGCGGTAGTGAACTTTAAGTTTATTTAAACGGATATGAAACAGTAGCGAAATCATTAATGGTTGAGATATGATGGATAGATCAACTATTTTTAAATCAGCATTATCGTTATTTATCATTATTATTATTATTATTATTATTCGTTTTTTTTTACTGCAGAAAGATATGTATTTTGTTCATGTTCCACAAGGGCAGGGTAGCGGAGTGACACATTTTTGGATAGGATTTTATAAAGAAATGCGGTCGGTTGTTTGGTTTTAGCTCCTTCAACAACAATTTCCGACCAAGAGGTTGTCGGGCCCTTCTTTGATGTGCTATTGCACATCACCGATTGGTTGTTAGTGAGTAGAATTGCTCTATTCAGACAACACAGGACATGATGAACAGGCAACAGACATACGCGGACGTTAAAACGCTCTGACCAAGAGTTTTTTCGGCCCTACTTTGATGTGCTATTGCACATCACCGATTGGTTGTTAGTGAGTGCAGATGTTCTAGCCAGACAACAGAGGGCATGACAAGCAGGCAACAGACGTAAGCGGACGTGAGTGAAAACTAACCAGTTTATGGTGATTGAAGACCGTGTATCTGTCTCCTACCACGTCCGCTTATGTCTGTTGCCTGTTCATCATGCCCTCTGCTGTCTGAACAGAACAATTACACTTATAAATAACCAATCGCTGACGTGCAATGGCACATCACTTATAAATTACTTCCTTTTGTTTGGCCGGAACTCGTTGTTGGCGGAGCTAAAACCAAACAACCGACCTCATTTCTTAATAAAATCATATCATAAAATGTGTCACTGCGCTACCCTGCCCTTGTGGAACATGAATAACATAGGTACCTTTCGATAGTAAAAAAACAAATAAAAAGATTTATATCTTTAACCTTTAATTATTTCGCTACAGTTTAATATCTGTGTAGCTAAAGGTAAAGCTAAGTTCGCTACAGCACAGCGTGAATGCTGGGTTTATATATGTCATGGCGATTGCCAAACACAACATTAGTAGCTCAGCCATTTTTATTTTGTAAAAGTAGCTCTTGGAGAACACAAGGTTTACAGTGTAAAGCTCAGTCTGAGAAGTTCACAGCTTTCTTTTAAGTAAAAATGTGTGTCTGGCATAGCTGCCATTCCCCAAACCTGAATCTGGCATTGCCATACCAACAGCCAACATTAACAAAGGAGTTGGGACAATTAAGGAGAGCTATAATTTAGTCTTCCACACATTCCCTCGCCTCCTCTTTCAGCTTCTATTGATATATTTCTTTTTAGTTTGTCTCCCTTTCTCCCCTAGTATATCTTAAGCAGTGTGAGGTTCATAATATTTAATGTTTTCTACATCAAAAGACAAAGATTTTGCATTAATTTGACCAGTACTTTTGCAGTATCCATAATTGTATAACATAAAAAACAAACAAATGCAAAATAAAAAGAACATATTTGAAAATTGACACCTGCAATTAGGGACGCTTGATACAACTTTTTCATGTCCAACGCGATACTGCAACTTGGAGTATCTGCTAAAACTGATATCAATCCGATACCATTTTTTCTCCTCTGGCATGCTGAGGCGATGGCCTCCATGTTTACTTTATGTTTTTTTTTTTTTTTCAGAATAAAAACTTCTTATGCAACGCTCCCTAAGGGCTGGAACATTCAGCAGCAGAATCTGGTTTTTGTCCAATGAGAGACTTTTAATGACTTCATGAAGTCGTCCATTCATCACTTCACAGATCTTATTACAATTTCAACAAGGGTTAATAAAGCCATGGCCCATCCACACTTGCTAGAAGCTCCTTTTATACTCTTATTTATACCCAAACTTTACAGGTTTAGCTGCTGAATGACCAAGAATCAATCACATTGATTAAAAACACACCAGTTTTTAAAAGAATAACACTCATAGAATGGATGTCATCATTGATTATAAATGTTTTTGTATCAACACAAGAAAACAAATTGAATACATTTCTTGAGGTCTGAGTTTCCCCGAGGGTCTGATTGCAATTAAAGAATGAACTAGAAGAATACAGAGCATTGTCCAGGCAGATAGAATTACAGATAAGTCTCCTTGGAAATGATATAATATTGGTTGTGTTGAGATGATAAGCTGTCCAACACACATGCTGTTTCAAAGACAACAAGACAGAAATCAAGGTCAGCTGGTTCAGCACATTACTTCATATAAGGGCTGGGCCAGTTGTGATGTGGAATGTTTCTCAAAGCCTATTTGTCACCAATGCAGTGTTGTCTGCAGATTTTCACTGGAGAAAAGACCTGAATGCTTCATCAGCACTTGACCGCTGTCACTCTTACTGTCTGTACGTTTGTATGACACCTACTGTATACTGGGCTGCTGCAGGGATGTGGCTGTACTGAATGGGAAACAGAGCCTCACCTGCTGTTTTATTTATGAAATAGATGTGACAACACGGCCAACCGTGTTGTCACATCAAATAAACTGCACAGTAAGGTGTGTCGACGCTCACTACCACCGTCTGTTCCAACAGTGGCTCAACTTTTCCCCCACTGAGTCAGCACGACTGTTTCATCTGAGCACACTGAGATATTTGTTGATGTTTATGTTCCGTTTTCTGACCTTCAAATCCCGTCTACCTAGTTTTCATCTTCATTTGTCATTGTTCTGTTGTTCACGCCACCCTTTATTTTTCCACCTACTGTCTTTGCATCATTGTTTCTGTTTCCTTTTTTCCATGTTGTGTGTGTGTCTGTGTGTGTCGGTCCAGACGAAGAATTGTCAGGCTATAGCTGCCTACGTAGATGCCCTTATGGAGGTATTTTATGAAACCAAAAAGCCTAGAACTACCTGCAAAAACCCTAAAGAAATCTGAGAATTTTTTAAAGGATCTGAGTGGTTTTTTTTTTCACACAAGTCCTATGTCATGGGTTGGAAAACAGTACCTATTAGTATAGTATATGGCTTGACTTTTCTACTGACAATTTGTAGATTCATTACAACTGCAATATACACACACCTGAACTCTAAGCTGCATATTTTTACACTCACAGTTTGTGCTCCCCTAGTAGAGAATATAAGGGTTCATTTAAAAACAAACCCCAAAAAAAACCCAACAATATTGCTGTCAATTTAAGGGGAAGTCACTGAGTAATAAAATCACAAGCAATCAGATTCACATAATGCAAAATTAAGAATTTGTTGTGTTTTCCTGGTCTCACCAGGCCACTCTTGTTCAGACCCATGGCATGTGCAGTCTCTGTGTGAAGAACGATGCACGCTAAAATTCCAATTCTGTGGTAACTCTTTGTAAAGGCCGACGTTGACCTTTGCTTTACATGTTTATCATAGTTTGCTACTCTCACCTAAACTTATGCAAATTTACTTACTTTGAAACTCTAACAGCTCTTTGAGGGCAATGTATTAACAATTTCAAGCCGTTACTGCAACAATTCCCACTGAGTCAACTTTACAGGAAACTTCTTGAATTTTAACTAGTTTGTCCTTCTTTCAGTCTGTTTGTTCTTTGTTCTCCTTTCACATCCTGTGGAATTCATGCAGGTTCAAAACCTCAGACTCAACAGTGTCTATCAATAGGAGAACTGATAGAGTCCGGACGAATGATCGAGTTATTTATTCAAGCGTTGATGTTTTCCAACATTAACTACATTCACTCCGTCGTCTTCACTGTTTCATTGATGTCTTGATGCCACACGACATGAACTCATACAGTGGATTCGATTTAGTTAAGATTGAACCACCCTGTGGTTCTTCTCCTTCAGTTTAAACCCCAGCAGCAGCCCCCCCACCCCCCAACCTCCTCACCCCCAACATGTTGTATTGTTGGGCGTCTCTGTTGCGGCCACCCCGGTGATCTGAAGCTGTGTCGTAATGGATGCTGCACATGGGAATTTTGCAACATCTAAATTGATGTCGACAGTTCATGGAAACAATGCATTGATCATCATTACAGATGCTGGAACTGCTTTAAATGTTTTTGATTCAAATGCCTCAGCCAACCTCAGCATGTGAAAGGAGCAAAGCAACAAACGTGAGGAAGGACAAATGGTTCATTACAGTATCTCTCCATCAATGTCCTCCCATCACCTTGTCCAAATATATTATGATATTATCCCACACCCCAGAGCCCTTATGCTCCTCTCTCCTCTTACATTCTCTCCCCTCCCCCCCCCCCCACCCACCCTTCTTTTTTTTCTCCACATTCTTCTTTCTCTTTCTCTCAGGCTATGACTTTGCAGCTGTCCTGGAGTGGTTTGCAGAGCGTGTGGACAGAATCATTTTGCTGTTTGACGCCCACAAGCTGGATATCTCTGACGAGTTTTCAGAGGTGATTAAGGCCCTGAAGAACCACGAGGACAAGATACGGTAACGGAGCGGAGCCTGAATTTCACACACATTTGTTTGGACGTGAGTGTGACGCTCGTAAATGACATATATCTCGTTGCTCAGGGTGGTGCTGAACAAAGCTGATCAGATAGAAACCCAGCAGCTGATGAGAGTCTACGGCGCCTTGATGTGGTCACTGGGGAAGATAGTCAACACTCCAGAGGTAAAGTACCTGAGTTCTGACAACACAATCTCCATCACTTCCTTCAGGCAAGAAGTTTTTTTCTGTTAGAACTGGTGTACAGTCTTTATATCACCATCTGTTATCTTCAAAATGTTTAAGTGGTTACCCTGAGAGCCAGACTTTCCTGCCTCAGATTTTAATTCTACCCCCGCCTCCCTCCCCTTCCTCCCCGTCAGGTGATCCGTGTCTACATCGGCTCATTTTGGTCACATCCTCTGTTGATCCCTGACAACAGGAAACTGTTTGAGGCAGAGGAGCAGGACCTGTTCAAGGACATTCAGTCTCTACCGAGGAATGCAGCTCTTAGAAAACTGAACGATCTGATTAAGAGGGCGAGGCTGGCCAAGGTAGAAAACAAACGCACTCTCACAGTATTTGGAAAGTAGGCGTGAATAGTGGTTGGACATGTTACTTAAGTTTGTTTTGCTGAAGTAGTTTTAGCTTTGCAATGATTTTTGGTTATTCATCTGCCATCAACTGTCAGATTAAATCAGTTCAATGCTGTTGTTTTTTTTATAACAGTCCAAACTGATGTCACATCAACACTCATTGGTCCTCTCCATCCTGTCCAGCTGTTAACCTTGACAGAAAAGGCCTGTGGCTGTCAAAGAACCAATACAGACAGACAAATTAGCGTTTTGTCCTGAGAGCGAATTATTTCCTGTTTCCCTTCTGGACAGGAAGTCAGGTATAAGAGGCCTGTCTGTCACAGTAGGAGGAAATGGGGAGGATGTATGAGGATGTATATATCCACACGGTCAAAGAGTGAGGGTGTGCATCTTTCCTGAGTGTCTGTGTATGTTTTTGACATGTCATCAATATTAAAGCAGATTTATGGAACAATTTAAAAAGAACATTATGGCTTCTTTTAGGAGAGGTAAAAATGTGCATTCCTAAATCCCTGTGCGATTTGACATCACCTTAACTACACAAGACAATTAAATCATCATTGAATCCCAGGTCATAATTATTAATTATCATTATTCACATGCAGGTTCATGCCTACATCATCAGTGCACTGAAGAAGGAAATGCCCTCTGTGTTTGGGAAGGAGAACAAGAAGAAAGAGCTGATTAACAGTCTGGGAGATATTTACAAACGCATAGAGAGAGAGCACCAGATATCACCTGGAGACTTCCCCAGTTTGAAGAAGATGCAGGTATAATGAAAATAAAAATAAAAAACAGCAACACGGATGAGATGAAATTATCTCCTTAACTGTAGCTTGAACGGATCTGATCTGATCTGATGAGATGTTTGTGGTTTTTCAGGACCTTCTCCAATCTCAGGACCTCACCAAATTCCAGCCTTTGAAACCTAAACTCCTGGAGGCAGTTGACGACATGTTAGCCAGCGACATTGCTAGCTTAATGGTTTTGGTTCGTCAAGAAGAAACACAGCGTCCTAACCCGGTCGTGAAGGGCGGCGCCTTCGATGGCACACTGAATGGACCGTTCGGTCACGGTTACGGCGAAGGAGCGGGCGAGGGCATCGACGAAGCCGAGTGGGTGGTGGCACGTGACAAACCGGCCTACGATGAGATTTTCTACACACTCTCTCCGGTCAATGGAAAGGTGACTGGGGCCAACGCAAAGAGGGAGATGGTGAAGTCCAAACTGCCCAACACGGTGCTGGGAAAGATCTGGAAGCTGGCCGACATTGATAAGGACGGAATGCTGGATGATGAGGAGTTTGCTTTGGCCAATCACTTAATAAAGGTGAAATTGGAAGGACATGAATTGCCACCGGAGCTGCCCGCACACCTGGTGCCACCAACTAAAAGAAAAATACCTGAGTGACGATTAAGTAAGCAAAGCAAAGTCCCTGCTCTGAAAACTTTTATATTCAGTAGACCCCTGTCCTTCTCCACCTAGAAATAAACCTTCAGAATCAAGGAGTATTGAAAACTAACAAATTAACAAAGTAGATTACATTTCTAACTCAAAAACTTCTCTGTTGCTTTCAGTCTGATGTCGTTTATCAAAAGTTTGAATTTCACTAGTGAGAAGTTGAAATAAAAAAAAAACTTTCTACTGCAATTAAAAAAAAAAAAGCTCTGCAGCTCAAGTCCAGAGTGATAAGAATGATGTTGTCTCTGTTTGTTGTCATTGACGATAATACGATAAGGGATTTGTAAAAAAAGATGGTGAATGGTAGGGAAAAAACTAAAACACTAGGAAACACTGGAATACAGAAAACAATGTTGACACTACTGGAGTCAAGTGTAAGAGATGCAGCAATGTACAGAAAAAAAATAAAAGTATTTGTAGAAAGAGTTTTGAAATATTAATATGGGAAATTAATATTATCTCCATTTAAATACAAGGTATGCAGATTATATTTCTTTCTTTCCACCAAAACATTTCAGACTTGCTTTTTCTCTCTGTGCAAATTATGAAAAAAATCCAGATTTCCTGTTAAACGCCTTGAGAATTCACATAAGAAGAAACTTTTTAAAATGTGTGGGATGAGGTTTATGAAATCCTGGGTGTGTATCAGAACTACAGTATGGACGTTTGGATAAGAGTGCCCTGAATGAACAAAAAAAAAAAAAAAGAAGTCAGTGTGAGGTTTTTAAGTCCTTGTCATTGTCTAAACTGTGAGTGTCACAGCTGTTATGTTGATCCTGTGTGGACAGGTCTGAACCAACGTCCCCAGTGTACGTCATGTAAGAACGTTAAATATGTAGACACGTCTCTGCTATTTCATGTATCAATGGTATTTTTAACTTCACAAACTACGAGTTGGTAGCTTTTTCCAAAACAGGGTTCTTCAACCTGTGGCTCCCAAATCACATGCAACACTTCATTCTCTGTGAACGGACCAAATAAGTCCAAAAAACCCACAGGAATCCTGACTAGTACTTTCAGTCAGCCAGTATACGTTACACTATCTACGATCAACTTTGAGCCAACACTTCATTCTTAGCTTGTTGCTAACAAATAACATCATGTCACTGTCGTCTTCGATCCAAGCCAGTTGTAATACTTTAGCAGCACATACTGTACATAACTGTAAAACAACAAGTATTACTACAGTATTTACAACATTAAACAGGCCGTTTGCAGGCCCCTGTCCCAGAGAGTTGGTTGAACTTCATTCATTAAACTCACCTTGTAGCACAATTCAGTGAACAAATCGTTTTGTAATAAACACTGTTATATACGGCCTTTAAATTTCCTCCATGTGAATTTCAAACACGTATTACATGCAGTTTTACAAGTTTTCTCTCTGTGTTCCTGTTTATGGTATACATGGCCTATGTATTTCACTCGAATCTCATTTCCAAGATGAAACACTAACAGAATTAGTGTTAGTATTTACTCATTACATATAAATAAGTTTCTAGTGAACCACCATGATGTGTCTGTGCTGTTACTGTGAATCTGCCTCTCTTCCATAAACACAGGCTTTCACTCCATCAGTGATCCATCAAGGACGTGCTTCATGCACCACTGAACTGTGTTTCATAGCCATATCATTCTGTGAAAATCCAGCTCTTGACCTTCACTAAAGGCTCCTACCCTGATGAACTGAACTCTGAATCCTTCTCTCATATCTGTAGTATGCAGAAACACTGGTCTCTCTTTTTTTTTAAGATGTTGGAGCTTTTTGCTTTGTGTCATTACTGCTTTCGTGTTCACAGGAACGGCCTAAAAAAATCTCAATAAAAACTCATGTAATCAACATTCTGCTCGTTTGTGTCTCTGTGATAATCGCAGGGAACGACAAATACGATTTCAGTTAAAGAGAATCAGAATGAATCATCATTTACTTAATAATAAAAACAAAAATGGACCATGGACCAATTACTTTTTAATATTTTTTGTTTTCCTTTATTATATCCAAATATAATACAATAGCATTATCAAGATGAGAGATTTGTTTTTTTGCAATTATTAAACACTAAAACCTAACACTTAAACATGAGCACATTTAAACCAAACGGATTCTTCTTGTCATGTTTTGGAAGTATTCTTATCTCAAATTCGGAATTTGGAATGTTTGTCCAATGCGTGTGACAGGAAGTGAAGACATCCCCCCAGTCCGGGACTAAAAGATTCCTTAAAAACACAGCACAGGGAAGATGCACTCTGTCTCTCTCTCAAACAGGAAGTTCTGTTCTTGTCCACTGTTTCCTGCCTGTCCCTCTTTGACCCTCACATATAGACATGTCAAGAGCACATTCTCCATCATATACATATATATACAAATATACATTTATATGAATTATTTAAGACTTTATTTTAAATCACATTCAGTTTATTTATCACTTAATGTGGTCAAACTGAGATAATAACAAATACAATCATAAGTTTCAGGTGTTTGAATTAATAAGGTGTTATAAGTAAAAACAGTCGTTGAAAATATGTTTGAAAGCTTGACATCGCCTGCACTGATAGTGTTAGGTGGATTCATAAATGCAAATGTGAGACGATTTTCCTCGCTTCTCTATATGTGTATCTCAGAGGTCATTACTCACCGTGAACTATTTTAAGAGTGAGCGTTTTTGTCTTTCCTGGAAGTCGTGAAGAAAAGTGACAGACTAATGGGGAGAGACACAGTGGAATTACGTCTGTCTCTGGTTTGGTGTGGTGTGGTATCTAATCATGACAAGGGAAACTGTCGATCATGACTTCGCATGTGTGCGTGTGTGTGTGTATGTGTGAGTGTAAATATCTGTGATGGATGTCTATGTTTGTTTGGCGAAGAGTCACACGCTAAGAAGACATACATCAGGATATAATGTACAGTATACACCCTGAGGGAATGGATATTTTAGAAAACTAGAAGGAGATGATGCTCACACACACACACACGCGCGCACAGAGACACTCAGAGACAGATACACATTATCACAGAGTCAAAACAGAGCAAGAAATTAAATTTTCTATTTTTGTTAAAGATGTTATTACACAACAATAAAAAATACTATGTGGTGTAAGATTAGATGAGATTTGACCAGGATTAAAAATGAAGTAAAAATACAGATTTAGATCTAAACCTTATCTTAATCAAGATACACAGCACAAACAAGTTATGGTCAGAAAACATATCCTAAGGCAATAAAGCCTAAAAAAAAAAAAGGAGGAGCTAAAAAATTGGCTTTTGGTAAATGAAGCTGTTCAGTCAATGGTAAGAAAATCCTACACCGGCAGAATGAGCTTCTCCTTGTGTCAGGTGTGTAATGTCTATTATTTAGAACATGATTTGTTAGGATTAATTCATTCATCCGGATGACAATCATATCAGAGGATGCATTTATTCTTCATATTTTCTTCCCCTAATGGTTTTTAGTTTGTTATTTTTTAAATGTATAGGACACTGTTCTGTATTTAAATAGCTTGACGTTAGACGTGCTGTTAAGTGGAGGACCTTCGGGGGTACAGGTGTCTCGGCAGCAGGAAGCAAAAGTGCAGCCATGCCCCGACACCGACACAAACACTCAGACGGGGTGAAGAGGGGACGAACGCGAGACACGGGGAAGGTGAAAAGAGCAGGAAAGACAGGAGGTGAAGCCGAGGCCTGCGCAGCCTGAACATGACAGACTGCTGTCATCTGCTTCTTTTCACCTGCCAGCTGTGAGCCTCAGCAGGAGGACACAGTTCACATTCCTTTGGCTGGTGTCAAACCCAGCACTGGATTTTCTTTTAGCAGAAACCACCAGCTGCGTTTGTTCCACCGAGTCTGAGAACATCAAGTCATCTGCTGACAGCGTTCTAAATCACAGCTCATCACTGCTTAGATCAGCGTGTGTGCGTGCGGGACCGAGGGTGGAGTGGTCACAAGGATCGTCTGAGCGGTCACACCCTACTGCTAATTGACTTTCATTACCATGGAGACACAAAGTGCAAAAAGCAGGGCACGTAACCAAATCACAATTTATATTTAATTTGATTTGGAAAATCAGCCGCATATTGGCGTCTGCAATTATTGCATTGTTTTTGTTTTAAATTAAGACAGTGATTGACATTTTTGTCTCACATCACCTGTTTGTATTCTGTGACTAAAAGAAACAGTAAGTGTGTGTCACTCACTGTGGTAAAGACAGCCAGAGGTCCTGGTGGACATTCCTCTAACCTCTTCCTGGCTTAACAAGAGGTCATGGGCGAGGTCAAAGTCCCTGAGGTCAACACAAACACACACACACACATTTTATTGTTTAAAATCATCATCCTAACTCACTTTACAGACTTCTGTCAAACAAGTATGACCTTTCACCCCTGGATTAACAAATATCAACAGAATGTCCCATTGTTAGTCATCTTAAAGTTTTTAGTTTTTTTTTTTTGATAAATTCTGTTATCTTCACTCTGTTTATTTTCAAGAAACAAAGTTCTTCCCCATGTGTTTATTCTTTTCTATTTTATTTTTCTAAAAAAGCGGGAATGATCACCATGACAACTTTGTAGAATTTTTTTTTAAACTGCTTTGCTATTTTTTCATGAATTGATGCTATCAATGCATAAGTGGTTACATTTAGCAGAAAGGGGAAACAGACAGGACCCAAGTGCAGCACTCAAACGACACGGATCAGTTGCAGAAAGTTTACTCATTGATTAAAATTAATTAACCCAACTTACTGGATACCAGGGCGGGGCAGTAACAAGCCACACGGAGGGTGAGAACAACAGGAACGATCTGGAACACAGGAACACCTGATTTACCTTGAAGTATAAATTCAAAGCATGAAGAATGACTCAAAGCACCAACCAACGCCCCAACCAGGACTGAGTGAGGGATAGATAGTGTAGATACCCACGGCACCAGGTGTCATAAGTGAGACGAATTAACTGGGAAACACAGGTGAGCCTGATTACACTAATTACAAAGAGGCAACCACTGTGTTATGGGTTTCCCCTGTTGTCCCTCTATATATGTTCAGTCAAATTCTTATATTTTTTATATTCTATTTTTTTTAAATAGAGTGAGTCATTTTAAAATTGTTTGTTCCAAATCTACATCCTTTAAAAAAAGCCCACAGCCTTCAAAACAAAACACAACAATAATGAACCTTCTATCGCAAAATGATAAGACAACATACCACTGAATAGTAGTATTTTAGGATTTCCTCCATTTCGATTTTCCCTGATTGTTCCTGACATGAACCAAAGGATGTTGCCATACGATAAAAGTCAGGACAATATTTAACAGCCTTGATAAATATTGTTCTGGTTCTCTCACAAACAAGTCACACCTCACTATTTGTCATCGCGCTGTCAGGGAGTCCAGTGACAGACGGTCCTTGTTTTTCCACACTGAGCAGGATGCCAAGTCGACTAGTCACTCATCATCAATGAACTGTTAAATTATTCAACATTATTATTCATCTATATATCTGTCTGTCTGTCTGTCTGTCTAATCAAAATCAATTTCTGACGTGTTTATACGTGTATATTTACACATGTTGGAACAGCTACATATTATTATTATAATTATTATTATTGATGCTGTTGTTTTTGTTGTTACTTATTCATATTTAATTTGTATAGACCTAACAAGAGTAACCACAACTGCATATAATTGTGCATATCATTGTGTGTGTGTGTGTTGGGGAGATGTATACACATGCAGGAAGTGAGTTTTCATCAATGTTATGTAAGACTACAAATGTGTGTGTCCTTCATATCAGAGATGTTCATTCATTCTCTTGTGCAACATCAGTGAACGTTAGAGCGGCCATGCACTGCACATCAGTTCAATAGAGAAAACAACTGTAAGTCCTGTTTATAAGAAACTATCTCTTTGATTTAAATGGGCTGCTCTTAGTTGGACCACTTTGGTAAACTTGGCGGTGTGAGCCTTAGTCACAGCTCCTGTTTACTCGTACATTTTGTCATATGTTTGTATCTTAACCAGTATCTCTCCTCCGTTTATTCCTTGTATAAATTCAGACTGGAATTTGGGTCTCTGCTGCCGTCTAGTGGTTTTCTCGAGTTGCACCGGGGGTACACATCAATACAAATATATTAGACCAAAACAAATATACTATACTAAAAGATAATTTTCAACAGTAACATCGCACGCAGTTTGCTTTTTTTCTTTCCTGTTTTTCAGAAGCCTGTAATGATGCACTTGCAACAAACCACAGGTTTCAGTTGACATTGCAGTGGGGGGATTTATGTCGCATTCAGCCTGTGGTTTACCATGATATTTTGTGTTTCGCCTTTAGATTCTTAGCTTAACAAGCGGTTGGTTATATTTGCATTGCTTTTTTTTCTGTATATTAATAGTCAGAAAACATTTATTTTATTTTAATTAAAATTAAATTAGTATTATATGATACAAGGCCAAAGTAGGCATGTTCAATAGTAACGTAACGTACGTTAACGTAGTAACGTAAAGGGTCTTAAATGCTCAATCAAAATCCATTTGACAATCGTGTCTGTCATCTGAATCACTGACTGCCCTACTCACACTGGATGTGTGTATCGACAATAAGTGGATATACGTTGGAATTATTATTTCATATAGTGAAGGTCATTGTGTTCATGCATTAACTTGTTTAAAATAATTAAATCTATTTCATTTCCTCAATTTGATCACACAGTTAACGTGTTATTTTTACAGCGGGAAACACGGAGGAGCAGTCACAGGTGTCATGGAGACTTGGCCACGGGAAGTTGACCTGGAGAGAGACATTAAAGAGCACACAGACAATACAGAATATGACGACAAGTAAAAAAAAAAAAAACACCTGAAAGACGTTGCATCTGCAGGCTGCACACACTGACACTGCTGCCTGGTGACTTCAGTGGCTGAAGAAAAAATATATTTCAACCACATCCTCTACCCACCACAGTAACCCCAACTTTTTTCCTTCAACACAGCAGAATCACTGACCACAGTTGTTGCCTGTGTAGGCAACATGTGACTGAACGAACCAGTATAAAAAGTGAGGGTACGTTAAAGAAATTCAAAGATGAAGATGATGGGGATGATGACGACTCCTGTTGTGCTGGTCACCTGCATCTCACTTTTGTCCTCCATGGCTGTCCTGGCCTCTCAGAGTGAGCTGATGCTTTTAATGCTAAAATGCTAACAACATTTTTAAATTAATTGTTATTGATAATGTATTTCAGTATGTTAGTGATTTTAAATGACGATTTAATGATGAAGTAATGTAAATTAGCAATTTATATAAAAATTCAAATTAGCACCAGACTAAAATATGTAGATCTTGTCAAAGTCCGTTTTGAATTTTACTAACCTTAGGATGATACCGTCCTCACTTTATTCTTCCTTATAAATTGCTGTAAAAAATGTGTGACATTTCCTATTTCCATCTTAGTTCATGAGTATTAACATTAACTTTATCTGTTTTGTTTTTTATTTGTGAAGAATCTAACTGCAAAAACTGTACAAACAACATCAACTAAAATCAGTCCCATTGAGAGTTAATTAGTTAGTTTATTCTAACTGCTGCTTTTTTTTCTTCCTTTTTTTCTTTTTATCTTTCATTGCTGCACAGGCAACTTTGGACCAGACAAATGCTGTTTCACCTTCATATCCCAGCCCTTGCCTGTGAAGAGGGTGATGAGCTTCAGAGAAACTAATCGTCAGTGTCCGAAAGCTGGTGTGCTGTAAGTGTCGGACCTGTGGGTTTAAAGACAGACTTGTATTATTGATTTTGGGGTTAGGGGAGGTATATGTTTTGAAGAATAAAAATGGCAATGACATCAACTCCTCTGTGTCTTAGCTTCACGATGAAGAGTGAAAGGAAAATCTGTGCCGATCCATCCCTGGACTGGGTCAAGAAGATCATGCAGGTCAAAGAAAAATCAATCCCCCCACCCTCCAGCCCTGCAAAAAAATGAAATGAAATCAAAATTTTCTGAATTATTTTTGATTAATATAAAATGTACGACTCTCTGCAGATGGTTTTAATAAATCCAAAAGGAACTCCTGACCAGTCCATGTTCACTTTATTCACATATTTTCACAGCAGTATTTATCTGTTACTACTATGAATAATTTGTTACTAATTAAGAAGTCATCATTTACGCCGTCGTGTACCTGGGCTTCCACCTTCGTTCATTTGCTGACTCCGTTTGTTCTTGTAGAGTATTATTGACATAATCACTTCATATGCAGTACTTTACCTAAGGTCAGTTTGAACAAAAATGTCAACAGTTATTTTATTTCATTCACATTTATTATGACTTAAAAAATGGAACACACATTTTACACTGTTCTCAGATCAGGGCCAGATCATATGGTAAATGGTGTGTGTGTGTGTGTGTGTGTGTGTGTGTGTGGTTTAGATATAGATATTATCGTGGGGACATATTCTAGGAACCAGGGTGTGTTGAGGTTTTTGTATGGTTTGGTATTTTGTTCCATAATACAATTATATCAATTTCCTCAATTTGATTAGATTACTTTACATTAGATTTGAATAGAAAATAGATCATGGATCCATGTAATTAGTAACGTAATTAATTTATTAGGGTAAATGACTGTTAGAAAAAATATGTCAACTGTCCTCTAGTCTACATGGTTTTTTGTACCGCCAGTAGAAGTTGCTCTTTCCCCAATTTCAGACGTAAACGTCAAAGACTCCCTCCATGATGATTTGGATGTTCAGCTTTGCAGCAAACAGGGGATTCGTTTTGAAGATGATTTTTTAATAAACTCCAGCGTTCCCTCATCTCACCCAGAGAGACACGTCAGCTGACGTCAGTGCAGTGAGTCGACCGCTCAGACCTGCTTTAAATAGCCTCAGACCCACTTTTCACTTTCTCCCATTACCAGAAGTGAGGCCTGATGTGTTTGTCCGTGTGTGGACATATTTGATGAGGACAGTAGAATCTACTAAGAAGGTGTGCTTTCTCACACAGATGAGTCATTAGAGGACACGGCTGTATGATTACATTATTTGCATACTAATGTGGGGGGTGGCAATTAGACAGACAGGAGACAGGGCTGCTCCAGCTCTGACGACGTGTAATTGTCGTGGTGCTTTGAGAAATACCAAACACATTCATCAGCATCCTGAGCGTTCAGCGTCTCAGCAGCTAAATGACGCCACGTTCTTGGGGAGGACTGTGGTATAAAAGACAGATTTGACCTGATCTACTGTCATGTTGGTTTGCTGTGAGAAAACATCAAAACTGTGCAGCTGAGAAGCTCAGTCCTATTTGTTAAAAGACACATCCGTCTGTCAGTCTGACCTACCTGTGGCTGGGTGGAAGTAGGACACAAGAAAAAACCCTTGGGTTTCACTCTTTTACAGCTTCAGCTCATTTAAGGCAGTAGTTATTGTTATTATTAGCTCTTGTGCATAGTGTTATTATTCGATCTGTATTTATTTCCTTTTGCAGACTAATATAAAGAAGCAAAACAGCCAATAAACCACTTATTAAAGAGCACCCACTGTAAAATAATAATAATAATAAAACCCCCACTTACAATAATAACTTTACAGTTAAAATAAATTAACACAATTTTGTTTTTGTTTAAAAAGTTAACAGCTTTGGTTTGAACTCTTCATTTTCTTTGTTTTTTGTTTAAACGGATCTTCTCTCTCTGAGGAACATTACTGCCACCTAGTGAGCTCACTTAGCAAGGGTAAACATTTCTCAAACAAAAGATTATTACCTCAGTTCTTTTTTAAGTAATTGTATTGCTGCTAAGTACACTGACAGTCCTACACTGAGTCATTATTCATTCAAATTAAAACAGCAGTGATTTAGTGTCAAAGTTGTCAAAGTTGTTCACATTTCTCATAAAGAATAAAACAAAAAGCAAATAATAATATGCATAAAACGATACCTCCGTCTCTGTGCCGTGTTCCTGCCGCTGCGTTCTAACAATGAAAGAATGTTTGTGCATGAAAAAGCTGACTTGTTTGAATGGTAGAAATTCATGTAGGCAGAAGAGCGGCTGACTGAGAGAAATAAAGATGAGAAGGAACATAAAAGGCCAGAGAGAGTCAGCCCAGAGTCTGCAGATGAAAGGCCGGAGAAAAGGAGTGTGTGAACAGTGCAGTCACTGTGGTGATGATCCAGGCCACGGCCGGCGACACAATGGATGAACACACACACACACACAAACTCACACATGCAGCGATGTTTGTTTGATGTCAGCTTTTCTTGACAGATGGAATCAATGTTAATTAAACACTGACAATGTGAGAGAAGAGGGAAAAGAGAGGACGCGAGTTTCCTGGTGCGATCACAAACAAACACATCTTGATCAGAGAGATATAACACGTCTACGTGAAAATGGATGATACTATGTCACTGCATCATACACTCTGGCTGAAGATGAAACTCTTGGTAAAAGAAATCTGTTTTCAGTACAAGATCTATTTAGAATGCGTTTATTATTAATTCCTTATATAATTTTCAAACCATAGCATAATGATTTTATATCTTTGAATAATTTGGATAATTTACTATTGTGATGTCACCAGAGCCCAAGGCACCACTTAGTGGTATTTTGCCTCATGAACTAGTTTGACAAATCTTTAAGGGATCAGTTGCAGGTTTGTGTGTGTGTGTATGTAAGGGTCGGGGGTGGGGGGTGGGTTACACAACACAACAAAAAAATGTACATCATATAAAATTTAAGGAGGAGGCGCCATTCAGTATGTAGTTCCTCTGGTGCTTGAACCCAGGACTTTTTTGGCAGATGTGTAAGGCATGCCCCATAACTGCTACACTATTACATCAGAGTTCGCACATCTCACTACATGCCTTTTTAGGTTAGGTACCCCACACAGGGATCAGGCTCCGTGGTCCAGATTTCTGTGGACCACATAGTCAGACACATGATTTAATGTGGTGTAAAGATGCCGGTCTCAACACGTCAAAAAACGAAGGGAAATTAAAAGTGGGAAACCATGAAAGGGAGATTGAGAGATGGGGAGGAAACGGAGCTGAAACGTAAAGATCAATATCCCCTGCATAATTACCTACCAGCTTCCTGGGTTGCTAGGAGACCAGCCAGAAATGAGAGAGGGGAGACGAAGAAGAAGTAGAAGAAAAGGAAGGCAACGATACAGGGAGAGGGAAAGATAAACACACAAAAAGTCCAGCGTGTGTTTATTGCCTGTGTTTACACTGAGAGTGAAGGTACAGGAGGGCGAGGGAAGCATGTAGATGTGATTATTATAGGAGTGCATGAAGAATTACTGAGAAATTGATGGTGTCAGTCCCTTTAGCTTGACAACTCCTCCTCCACCATAAATCATCCACAGCTCTCTGTGCACTCACTTTTGTCTTCTTTGATTCTTCCTTCCCTCTGACTCCCTGCTTCCTGTCACCTCCTTCTCTCTCTCTCCTGCCGTTTCTCATTTATATCAGTCGTGTCTTGTGTTCACGCTCCCACTGAAATCACTGAGGAGCCACGTGAACAGATGTTTCCATCAATTACCATCAAAATAGTTCCCGATCAACGCAGACCTCTGTCGTATGAAATGATTAGAACGGATGCCCACAAGCAGCAGTCAACATTAAAGCAGTCTCACTGAATAAAGCTACACTTAAAGAAAAAAAATCTCATTACACAGAAGCCATATTTATGTGCACTGTGCCTTTAAATGGAAGAATGGGAGCACCAAGAGAGAGAGAGAAGGAGAGAGAGGAAAAATGAGGAGTAAGAAGAGAGAGAGAAGGAGACCTAGAAAAGGGGGAGTCAGTGTTCACTTTCTCCTCTTCTGTCTCTCAGAGGTGTGTGAGAGACCAGTGTGATATTTCTTTACAGTCAGTAAGACTAAGAGAGAGAGAGAGAGAGAGAAAGAAAGAAAGAAAGAAAGAAAAAAAGAAAGAAAGAAAGAAAGAAAGAAAGAAACAACAAGGAAACAAAGAAATACAGAAAGAAGAAAATAAACAGAGAAAGAAACAAAGAAGATGCTGGACATCTCTGGAGGAGGACCGCTTCACTGCCTCTGATACTTCAGGATCATGTTGGACACAGAGACAAGAGGCAGATTTCTTTGACGGCTGCTGAGACACGGAGCGCTCTCTGGAGTGGATGAGATTAAACAATTCAACAGTTGTCGCTCTTTGATGAGAACAAAAAAAAAGTTGTGGACATCGGCAGCTGTGAGTCTGTGCAGAGACATCCCAGCGTCTCAACCGAAGAAAGTTCTGAAAGGACTGTGTAGCTGAAGTGTCTGTTGTTGGTTCGTGTATAAGACAAAGGTGGAAACATTTGTTCTCATCTGCCTTCATCCAAAAGAAACACTTTTGTTTTTTAGTCACATCCACACAGACAAGAAATGGCACAGAAAGACACGGGAATAGAGCAGAGACACATCAAGACAGGGGACAGCCTCGGAGCAAAAGCTCTCTCAGGGGTCCCTTCAGCTGGTGGGGGAGTGGTGGTGGAAGTCAGGGAGAAGAAAGGACCTCTACGGGCAGCAATACCCACAATGCCTTTCCTCCTGGCTGTTGTCTGTCTGTTTCTAAACACCTTCATACCTGGACTGGGTGAGTTGCATTCAAGGAGGTTTAACCAACATTTTTTTTATGTCACATCACTTTCTCTTAATGTCACACATTTTCTGCAGGAGACAATACAAACTGAGGGCAGCATCCTTGCAGATGAACGTAGAACCACATACTAGCCTGATAGTATTGTGACACATTTTTTAACGCTTCTTCTATTCATGCAAATGAAACATAGACTGAACCGTGTCTGTCAAACCTGCCTGCGATAAAATGTACACACAGACCAGTTAAAGCCCTTTAGAAAAGGCTAAAAGGAATTAAGTATTAAATATAAGCATTAACAGTAAAGTCTACCAACATTGACCGTACAAATCCATGTGTGAAAAGATCTCATTCACGCCTTGTGTTAAATTAAGACTGTCAGAGACTTAGCCTCAGTCTGACAGGTGATAATACACGTGCTAAATGAAACATCTGTGAGTGGAGGTGTCATCTCCGTGGGTATAAAGACCCCAGGAGCATGTACTGTAATTATAGGCAGCCGCATCAGCACAGCGGGCAGAGCCGATCATCACCTTCATCATCATGGGTGTCGACCTCGACTTCACACTGTTGGGGTCTGAAGCTGACATTTGATCTACTCCATAAAAAAGTTGCAGGATGCGAGGAAGGTACAGGCAGCAAAACTACGAGTACACTGAAGGTTTTCCTCTTCAATTCTTTTTTGTATTTTTCCTGCTTAGTAATCGTGAGTCACGATGCCACAAAGTCAACCGGTGCACAGCTATTATTCTCCTTATTGCCCCCTTGATTATGACAAGCAACACTGGAGAAAACAGCGGAGGCCACCTCCCAAGACTAATTACTGCAGGCAGCTAAAATTTAAATCTGCTGTTATTACTTACTCAGTCTTTGGGGACATAGGAAACACTGCAGACTCCACACTTTCTTTTTTTGGCAGAAGACAGCAAATAGAAAAAAGGAACATGATGTGGAAAAAACATCTTTATTTATGAAAATAAAACGTTTTTTTTCTCCACATATCCTTCTTGCAAGTCTAAACACTCCTGAAACCTGTTTCCATTAGCAAATTCCTTCTTTGTAGAATTTCAGGGGAAGTCACGACCTGCTGCCTTGCCTCGTCTGAGGACTGAAATGAGGTTCTTTTCAACCATCCCCATGTCCTCTTTTACAACATCCACAAATCTCCTCTGAGGTCTTTCTTTCTTTCTCTTCTTGCCTGGTAACTCCATCCAACGTCCTATCCTAAGTCCACTAATGCAAAGTAATATTATACTTCTTACAACTTTTTTTTACTACAGTTTGTCTCATTAAAACAAAAAGAAAATCCAGAATGTACCAGTGAGCACTTCCTCCTGAGTACAAACTTTAATTGCGAGCTAACCACCTCCTGAGATTTGCTAGTCACAGAAGTATACGCAGCATATGGTAAAGTCTGAGGCTCAGTAGGTCGAGCAATTGTCTTTCAACCAGATGGTTATGGGTCTGACTGCAGGGTTTCTTTGTCTACACGCAGTCAGTCAGTAAGTAAACAGCAACACCTATGGTGAGCTGTGACCTCGGTGAGAAAAAAATCACACATTATTGACCATTTATTGTTCCACACTTTGGCCAAAACAACAACATGTACAATTCAATGTGATGAAACCGAAGCCAGTGCAAGTTGAACTGTTTTGTTTTATTCTAATGAGGTCAATTGTTGTATGAAGAAAGGTATAACAGTAAGAGTGTTCTGTATATACCTGGATGCCAACTATGTGTGTGTGTAATGCTGCGTAAATTATGCTACATACACAATCCCACACGCACAGTGTGCAGCACCAGCCTCATCAATATGTTGATCCTAACTGAGAAAAGCTCCTACAGCTTTGATCCTGACCATGTCTGAAAGATCAGACACTAACTCACGAGTACAACTGCAAACTCAAGTGTCTATAAAAGAAATTATGGCAGAAAATACAAGGAAAAGTTTGCCGTTTAATTCTCGCATATTTTCTATTTTAATTCACACAACAAACCTCCACATGATTTTGGTGACATGTCCTTCCTCAGCTCATCAACCCACAACACTCCAGTGTGTGTGTACGGTGTATGTGTGTGTGTGGTGTGAGTGTGCTGGTTCATTCAACTACCACACACATCCATCAAAGAAAATATTAGAAGCTAACAATTTTTTTGCCCACACAATATGTGACATTTTGAGATGAAAATTTAACCAAACATATAAAGACATCAGCGCAACATTTCACTCTGTGTGTAGGTTTGTCTGAATGCTGACATTTCATTGAATAGCAGCAGTTAGTTGTCATGACAACACTGACTGAAATGAACACAATGCATGCATGCATGTGTATGTGCGCGTCGGTGTGTGTGTGTTAGTGTGTGTTAGCATGAACAGGAGTGAAGTGACAAAGAAAGAAGAATATCCAGCTGCACTGGAGACTTAAAAGACTACATAAACAGAGTCAGTGAGTGAGTACACTGGGCGAAGACCTGCATTATTTATTTTTAAAGTTAAATAGCCTAACATGTTTAAAGGAAAAACTCAGACTAAGTTCTCCCAGTCAGCAAGCTCTGTTTGCACCAGTGAAAGGGTAACCATAGCATCTAACATCATGAGCCACACCTGTATTTAACTTCTAATTTTAGGAAAAACAAAAACTCTACCTGAGGTTGGAGAATCAAAGCTGATGAAACTGTTCCACCGACTCCTGGTGGTCGAACTTGCATTAATCATGCCTGACGCTCATGTGTCACAGCTTGTGATTTGTCCCTGCAGACAAACGAGAAGTGACTTTGATTCCACTGGTGATTCAGTGCACTGTAAAGGGATTACAGTAATGAGCAGTCAGTCTTTAAATAATTTAAAGATTTGATTTAAAAAAATAAAACCAACCATTCTCAGGATGGTGTGATGTATGGAGTCAGAAGACTGAAAAAAAAGGAAAAGAAAAGAAAAAGACTCTGGCCTGAGGAGAGGAAGGCAAAGGTCAAGGGTGTGACACTGATGGATTGTGTGTGTCAACATGTAGATCTATGTGTAGCTGCAACTGTCAACTAATGCTGTGATTTAATACACAAAATAATTTATGCAAATCACTCCTGGTTGGTGCCAGCCTGTTAATACCCTAATGTATAATTAATGGCTAATGAAAATCACAGAATTCGACTTGTGTTAATGACATTTATATGAAATATTTTCCTCATTTTGTATTCAAGTTGAAGTTCCTGACGAAAACCCTGAGATTTTTTTGTTCATGAATGATTACAAATAGATCAGATTAGATTAAATTATATACGGTTAGATTAGATCAGATTACATTAGATTACATTAGATTAAAATATATTAGGTTAGATTAGATTAGCTTTTGAGGTTTGCGGTAAATGCTACATCAGATTCTAATAATTTCCAAGTAACTTTTCCATCGCTGCTCTACTGTCTTGAGCACACCTGCCTTTGAGTCTGTTGTTCTTTTTCTTTTTTCCTCTCTCTCTCTCTCTCTCTCTCTCGCTCTCTCTTTCTCACACTCCATCATTAACCTCCTACACTGCCAGTGGGCGCTCTGCACATTTCTGTGTGTAATTGCAGTCATTAGTCTGGGGTAATATCAAGTCACCAACAGACACAAGCACACACAAACACACAGTCTGCTTTTCATGATTTATAAGGACATAGACCCTATGCATTCCCTATCCATTTACTCCAGCTATAACCATTCAAAATGTATGCCTAATCCTAATCCTTAACCTCGCCCCAACCTCGATTTAATTCTAATCTAATCAAATTAAATTAACCTCAAAATACTCTCTGACCTGAGAAGTTCCCCAGAGGACAAAGGTTCTACAACAAAATGACCAAAAGAAAATGTCCTCAAGGCAGAGCCATGACCAGACACACCACACACACACCACCTCCCCCGTAAAACAACAGAGGATCCAAACGCTTTTTGCTTTTCACACATAAAAACGGTCAGTGTGACAAAATAAAAAAATAATAAAATATTTTTTCTGCTGTTTAAACTGTGTATGTCATTTAACTATAACACAATGTTTGGAGTTTTCTTCTCATCTGTTTTCATAAGGGTGCATCACATAAATTCCTATATATATGAGCTGTCAGTCACAGATATGAGCTGTCAGTCACAGCTCATATCTGTAGGTGGGCAGCTTCACCAGCAGCCAGAGCATCTGCTGGTGGGCGGAGCGTCTGTGACCTGAAGATGTCTCTGTCTTGGTCAGACCACAACGGTAACACGGCTTCAAAACACCGATTTATCCAAGACTAAAAATCCAGCCAAACCCCTCATCTCTTTCCACATGTAAACTCTTATTCAACTCTTATTGTGATTGGTTGCCTTGTCAACAGACGGTACAGTTTCAGTGAAAGAGGCTGCGATGGTGTGGGACAACGTGACTCCAGTCAAACTGTCTGAAAGTGAGCCGTTTCCTATTGATTGAGACGTTTTGTCTGATAAATGGTTTTCATTTGCACAAAAGCATAAATAATTCATCACGTCTGCTGAAGTGTATACACTCCTCTCCTCTCTTTGCAAAATAGCAAAGAGAGTGGCTTCACTGGACGAGCTTGTCCCGGCCTTGACACTTCCTCGGCTTCTACCAGCATTTTAGTCACACAGGAAGAAAGTAAAAAGCATTCTGGACCAAGCAGAGGCCACACTGTTGCCCTGTCGGTTCTCTGTTTACTTAAATACGTGATTATCTGCCGATTAACAACCACATTCAATACTGCAAAGCAAGACCGCGGAATATCTCCAAACACAAACAAAAAGGAATATAATAAATTCAATAGGAAGGATGCTTCTGTCTCATCCCAACAGGGTGAATGATAATGTTCACTGCCACCTTCATCCATCAACACTATTGTATGTTATGACCACAGCTCTGCATTTTACACGTTTCACAATAAATATTATTCAAATGGTTCTTTTCTGTAATCGATCTAACTTGGAAAAACAAAAACTCATATGGGAAGGTAACTGTAATGACATAATCATTCAGTAGATCCAACAGTTCCAGAATCGGCGTCACCATAAGCTGCTGTTGCCTTTAGGCTGAGCAAAATAATTTTACTCATGTTGCAAGTTTTCATAAGGGAGCGACAAATGTTATTTTAGGTTATTTTCGGTTTATGTTCCACTGCGTATTTTTTTATTTCAGCGGTGGGAATGGGCCTCGGAATTTCCTATTAATAGATGGTTCCACTAATGCATTTGATAAAACAACCTTGACCAAAGTCAGGGAAAAATAATTCCATGAACCATTTTATCATCAGGGGTTTCATGAACAAAAGAGTTAAAAATCACACTTCATTACAGTCTTTGTGTCCTTCGCCTGAGGGGATGTTGGCATGGAAACATTCTGTAATAAGATAATCAGATTTGTAAGCGCTTAGATTTACACACACACATACACACACACAAACACTGTAACTGTACTACATATTGGATTGGAAGGTCTGTGTCTCCTGATAATTGAACAGATATTGAATTTCATCCAGGCAGACAAGGCCTGGACTGTTTTCTACTCCATGGTTCAGATAACGCTCTCCTTTTCACCACTTGACCTTTTTAAAGGGAGCACCAGAAGGGCCTGAAAAAAAGAGGTCAAATATGAAATGTTCATCTAAATCTGCTGGTTATTGTTTTTACTCTGAATGATGAAGCGTTTGTTTTTGGCAATAACCAGATGTTCTCCTGGTTGGACTTCACAGGCACCTTCGTCTCAGCCTTCACGGTGCTGTGTGGAGCTCGCTGTGATCTGATCTCAGAGCGAGGCGTGTGCTGCGTGTTCTGGCTCAACGTGGCAGCAGCACTGATCCAGATTCTGACGGCTGTGATCATGGTGGGATGGATCATGAGCATCTTCTGGGGCATGGACATGGTCATCCTGGCAAGTCAGTAACCGTCCCACAGCTGATCCTGTCTGATTTCTGTGCCAGTATGGCTGCGAGTCATTTTAACACGACTCGACATCAAAATCCCTTGTACAGGTGTAAATACACACACGCGCGCACACACATCACACAGCTCTAGGAAAAGACTTTAGTCAGACAGCAGGCCGACTTGTTCTATGCTGAATACATTAGTGTCAGTCAGAACATTTAAAAAAGGAATTTTTAAAATGCCACGTTTCTGCTGAAAACAGCATAGCAATAAGGAATAGAAAATCTTTACATTTATTTACATTTTTATTTGTACTTCTACTGAAGAGTCTATGAAAATATTCACAACATTAAAACAAACTACATTAAAGTAAAGCTCATCATAATTATGAACCACACATACTTCAGGTTAGGTACGTGCTGATTACCTTTGATAATAAGACAAGAGGTGATTTTTTTCATAGATGTGTGTGTGTGGTTGTGTGTTAAACAGTAATTGTGTGTGTTGGAGTAAGCAGCCCTCCTGGTGTGTTTTTGTACTCGCTCCTCTCTGTTTCTCAGGCCTCTGGGCACATGTCTTATTTCTCCAGTGTTTATAGAGAATCTATGTATATATTAACTGTTGTCCTGTCAATGCTAAACACCAGGATCTCTCTCTGAAGTCTTGATCTTTGCCTCCAAGTTCAGTTGTTATTTCTCATCTGTTCACCACCACACTTCATGTCTTTGGAGTGCATGTTCACGCTGAGGCTTTTTCCTCCTTTTGACATGAAGTACTGTACGTCACAATAATAATCTGGTAAATTCCATATTCTGTTCATTTCTGTGATGACTGTGATGATGTGTTCCTTCAATCATCCCTCTTTCTAATGATCTCAGTTTCATCTTCCTCCCACCGACTGACTGTGTTCCATCCTTGGTTCTCCTAATGGCTGCTCCTGTTTCATCTCTCCATATTCCTTCTCCCCCTCTATCTCACTCCGTTTAATCCTCCCACTCTTTGCCACCCCCCGTCACATTCTTCTGCACTCTGCCTCTGTTCCTTTAGTTCCTGTTTTTTTACTTTAACGTTTTCACACTTTGACTCCTCGTCTCCTCCAGTCCACAACAGCAATGTGTAAAAATGATTACAATTGACTCCAGTAAAAGTCACCATCTTGACTAATTACTTTCGTTTATGTCTCTCTTTATCTGCATGTCTTCTTCGAGGGACAGTTTCTGATGGTAAGTTCGTCATTTATTATCCAAATTCTCACTGAGACGTCTGACTTCACTTTGTTGGCTACTACAGTATATAACATCTGTTACTCCATACACCGCCAAAATAGTGACAAAACTCCAACCTCACCATATATTTTTCATAAACAACACATAGCTCTATAAGGAGGCAAAAAAGTGGGAAAAAAACAAGACGAACCCACACTATTTATTTCTAGGTTTGCCCTAACAATAAACCGCATGACTTTCCGTGTGATTATATTGATTTTATTGATTCTTCCTCAGGTTGTCGTGATCAGAGCGTTCCTCAACACGTGTGAGCTCCGACGTTCCCTGATGAACCGCACTGTTTGATTGCTTTCCCCCGAAGCCTGACATTTCTGAAGGCCTGTAGCCGAGTGTTGGAGAGACATAATAAGAATAGTTGAGTCTGAGGAGGTCATGTGACTTTGACTAAGTGAAGTGATTGATAGGAAGCCCCTGCTGGTCAATCAGCACAAGGCCTAGTTTAGATCATCGATTAAAAGAAACAGCAGACGTGTTTGTGATTTCCAACTTACAATAACTCAATAACTTTTATTCACTAAACAAAAAATAGCAAATCACTTCCAGTCAATGCTAATGATACCAATGATGTTGTGACAGTCTGTGTAGTGTATTAGTGTGCTACCTGTTACTGAGCTGCAAACAGTTTATTGGCTTCAGCCACTCTGTCTAAACCTGTGATATTAAGTGTTGGATATCATCAGATTTACTGTTGAAATGAACTGTACAATCAGTCACTTTAGTGTCATTCCCTTATGCTGCAGTGGTAGTCTTTGATATTATTACAGCAGATAGGTGCTCTGTACCATACACTGAAGGAAAAAAAAACAAAACAAAAAAACAATTACAATATGTAGCTCTTTTTCCTTTCTGCAGGTGGTGCTGTAAATTAGGTTTTAACTCCCTGGTATTTTTTGTTGAATGAATATTGTTGTTTTGCAGTATGTAAACGTAACCTTGGTGACTGTATAGTTGGTCATTTAAACCAGAGCTCTGCAGCTGTCTGGTGCTGTACACCTCCAACAACAATGTCCAAATAACACCTACTTTATAACCTTTATATCTACATTCTCTCCTCAAACTCTAACTCTACAATATGAAAAATAACTTTAGCCTTCATGTAATTTTAACAACAGGTTCACTGGGATATCCAGGTCTTTGAACTGGGGTTTTACATTCCATCTCCATCTTGATAAATGACTCATCCTTCTGGTGATGACGTGATTTTAATTATCAAAATGTGTCGGTGTCAAAACACGTTGTTGTTAAACACTGCATCCAATTAACAGATTTAAATGTATCAGATCTAATTTTATCTTTGTTATTGTTGGACTAACATCACCGCCAGGTCTCACACATTCATTATGATAAAGGCACAGATCCTGAGTCAGTTATGACAGAGGTGTTGCTGAATGGTTAATTTGGTCTTATCTGCAGTACCTTGTCAAAGGGAGTTTCACTCATTTGGGTAAAATCACATCTGAGCATCACTGTTGATGTTGTTGTTCCCAAACTATGTCAAGTGAAAAGCAGAAAAGCATGAACATTCCCAAATCATTTCCCCCTGGAATTATGACTATTATTGGCTGATTCCCTGTAACCGATACTCAACAGTGTCAAAAGGGCCTTAAATGAGATTCCAGATCCACTGATGTGATCTGTTTTAATTAAAGGGAAAATAATTGCAAAAATC